CCCCAGGGATGCAGGGAGGGTCGCAGGGCAACGGGCCAAGCCGGGAAGAGCCATACAAGGAGCGGATCCGGTGACGCGCCGGCCGCGCCCCTTCTCCTCTATTTGGCTGCAGATTCCGGTCCCCGGATTTGCATATTTTGGCATCCAGTGGAAAAGGAAAGAAGAGCGGAACCCGCAGCCTTTAAAGGAACCGCACAGACTGTAGCGTCACCTAGGGAGGCGGTCTGGGGGGGGCGTGAAAAATTAGCCACCGGCTCAGGCCTCTGGCCGCAGAGCCTGGCAGTAGAGGAAGGGCGGGGAGCGGGGGCGACCCGCCAGCTTCGAGGATGCCAGCCCTAGTCCTGGCCCCTCCGAGGCGCTTCCTGCAGCGCGTGCACCCGAGGCTAGGTGGGGAGTCTCCGCGGGGTCCAGCCCGAGGCTGCCGCGAGGTTCTCAGCCCAGGGCTAGCGACAGGCCCTCAGACTCAAGTGCATTGCCCTCGTCTCCCCGCCCAAGGCAGAGCTCAGCCTGCGGGGGTAGTGGGAAGGAAGTGAGAGACCTCCGGCTGCCCAGTCCAGCTCCTCCCGAGGACCCCACAACGCACCCGCTTTCCACCTGTCGGATCTTTGGGTGGCGGGGGGGGGGTGACAACCGGTAGAGCAGAGCTGGAAGCCTTATCTCTGCTTCACAGGGCCTGTGTTTGGAAAGGCAGAGGTAGTTGCTTTAGCAGTCCTTGAAACCTCCCAGTGCTCCAGCGCACGGAGGAGAGTAGCCACTCCAGGGAGGCCAGCTGGACTCCTTGCTCCCAAGGACAGCGCGTGGCTGGGCCTTCTTACCTGTTGGGCAAGAGTGGGTAGGGGTCTTTTGGGGCAAGAAGACTTCCCCTTCTTCCTTCTCATTCCTAGTCTAGAATGGAAGCCATCAGCTAAAGTATTCAGGAAAGCTTCAGTGTGACTTCGGGCAAACTTCGGAATTTCTTCCTTAGCCTCCGTTTTCTAATCTGTCAGCTGAGATACTAATAACAGTGCCTATCCTGTAGGAAGAATTAAATAAGAGAACACTTGTGAGTATTTATGCCAGCTGCCTGGCATGCAGTAAATGGCAATTGCCACTGTTAAACTACATTCTCCTCTACCCTGCCACGTGACAGAAGTGCTCTCCCCCTGTGGGTCCCAGGAGTGAGAGATACCTA